AAATCACAATGAATTGCAGGGGTGTTTGCTGCTCTTGCCAGTTACCCCTGTAGCCACAACTCAAGACTAAGGCCATCTCCTAGGTTTGGACATTGCAACAGTCCACTATTAAGATCATCAACCCTAAAATAAGCCATGTGTTTTTTTTAATGCCTTGCTTGTGAAAATAACCCACTCTGCAGAAAGTGTATCAGGTTCATACAACAGGTCAAACTATCATAGCTGATCACCCATGGTAAGTTGTAATGTGTTTACGCAGTCTTCCTCTGAGCTTATTAATTCCTCTTTCTTCCTCAAGACAGTTGTGAGACTGGCTGGTGTTCTTTAGAAATTAGGAAGCATTTGGTGAATGTGGTCTTCAGACTTCCTGGAGGTTACTTGCCACAGTGCCTTTCAAAACTCCTCAGGAACCTGCTTCTGGAGATTTTCCTTATATTTAAATTAGCTTTTAAAGGACTGATATCACCGTATCAGTTTCCAAATGCTTTGCATTTGCTACAATGTAGCTGACAATTTGTCATATCACATCCCTGTGATTTATTAACAGGGTGGTAACCCATCTTAGAATGATATTAATGATCTAAACACTGTGGGTGTGGGCCCCAATTAGTAATGAAATAATTGGTTTGGGATTCTTTCACAAATAATTTTTTTTAAGAGGAACAAATATGAACTACAGTGTTTGTATTGTAATTGTTCACCTGGTTGGGCAGGGTGGAGAAGAGGAAGAAACTTTAATTTGCTCTTGGCAGAAGGACTGAATGCTTAATTAAACAGAACTGTATATTTTCTTTTACATTATAAGAGCAATACTGACAGGATTTTGGCAGAATGATTAAAAGAAGGCGACTATATATTAATTTATCAAACCAAAAATCATAAAGAGATCAAAAATTGGCTAGTACTCAAGAACTTCTGCTGACTTTTAAGTCACCTCTTTTTTCTGAAGCATGTTGAAACCTTATTTGAATGATACCTGACCACCTATGTTTGCTTCTGCATGTACAAGATTAAATGCCTGTGTTGCTGGCAGCTGAGAAATGCTTCTTGCATTCCTGTTCTAGTGTTGTGGTGAATCATAACAAACCACTGAATTGCGATGAATTCAAGAAGCATTTTTGCTAATGGTATGTAAATGAGTTTGTTTTGTATTTACTTATTTCATAATGCTCTATTTGAATAAACACATTTAACTATTTACAAACACATCTTCCAAGAAGCCTGTTACCTAGATACATCTACTTGCAAGCCTCATTTGTTACCACAGAACTTTCTTTAAAGAAAGTATAGGCTTAGTGTTATTTTGTTTAAATTAAGGGATAGGTAGCTTTATTGTATGATGAGAAAAGCTAGGAGGAAAAAATGGATGGAGAAAGGCTCATAACTGAAATAATGTAAAGATATGAACAGGTTTGCAGAAAATGCCGATATGAATAAATAAACCAGATACCTCAATAAATTTAATTCAAAAAGCAGGTGACCTCTGTATCTTCAAAATTCCCATGATATATTAGGTTTTGACCTACATAAAGATCAATTTATATCAGGTTGAAACTATATTAAAGTCTGTGCTTGCTCATGATTCTAATGAATTCAGTAAAGAAACAATAAAAATAAGTCCTCCCATTTAAGCAGACTTAAGAAACAGTGTAATCCTATACATTTCTACTCAAGGGAGAATTACATGTTTTGCTGAATGCAAAGCATGTAGCTACAATCTTTATTTTTCTTTAATTAACAGCACTGGATACAGGGGAGAATTCTTACCAGATACGCTGCATACACGGAGGAGAGACTTATTTCTTCACTTCCCAACTATATTCAGAATGAAAATTCCATTCCCACCCAAGATGCCAGGAGGCTTTAGCAATATGCAAGGGGGATTTTTCTTCTGATCACAGATGAAAAAAGAAGTAAGAATATGCTAATGACTAAATGAAGAAGGCAAGCTACAGCTATGTATTCAAAGAGACCTAGTGTGGCACTCAGAAGAAATCTGGGAAACCTGTTCAGATTCTCATAGTAGTTTGGTTCACATGACATGATCAGCTCACCATGGGTTATTTAGCCCACAGCAAACCACAGCATGTACCAGTGTGTGCCACCACTTTGAATATGCAGTCTTGATTGTAGTAATGAAGTATAGCTCTGAGTCACGCAAAACTGTCCACTCTGGGCTGTTTGGGAGTTAAACAACCCTCACATAATATAAATTTAATAGCAGGATTGTTTAGCCCTCAACCACACAATAGTTGGATTACCTGACATGGCACAGCCCTCAGTTGCCCCAATCACTGTTGAAAACAGTGACTATACACACCCAGCATGCACTGCAGCTAACTGTAGGTTAAAAATAAGATTTCACAATGGATGAATTTAAACCGCAGGGTCTCACATGGATTTACATTGAGGCTGCTGCTTTTTAACTTGTTTATAGATGTCCTGGAAATAAGACTAAGCAGTGAGATAGTCAAGTTTGCTGACACCCTATTATTTAGAATGGTAAAAACACAAATGGATTAGGAAGAGTTCTAAATGTGTGTGTGTGCACATGGGTGGGTGGGCGGGAAAAGCATTAAAATGGAAATGTAGTCAGTTTATGTAAATAAATAAAAGGTGCTGCATTTTCGAGGGAAAACTGCCCTTGCATGCACACACACACACTGACAGGATCAGAATTGGGGTTCTTTGAATCACTGTGAATAGCTTCATCAAAATATCAACTAATATATGGCTATACATCCATATATGCCCGGCCGCCCCTTGAGATCTGCGGGAGAGGCCCTTCTCCGGGAACCCTCCGTGAAAGAAATTAGGAGGGTAGGTACTCGGAGGAGGGCTTTCTCTGCGGTGGCGCCCAATCTATGGAATGCGCTCCCCAGAGAGGTCCGCCTGGCGCAGTCGTTATTTGTTTTTCGGCGCCAGGCGAAGACCTTTTTATTTAAGCGTCATTTTAATTGTTAACAATATTTGCTTATTTATCTGGCCAGGGCGACTTCTTTTATATTGTTATTTATTTTATATTGTTATTTTTGTATTTTATTGTATTTTATTTTATGCTGTGAGCCGCCCCGAGGCTTCGGCAAGGGGCG